TAATGGACACGCGTCCACATTGTAAAAAAAAAAAAAAATATCTTGGCCATGCGTCCTACTCCAATAACACTTAAATATTTAACTAAACTTTAATAACATGATATCCGATACAGTATCCGTCAAATATTTAGTCTGTTAACAAAAACTCCTGAAGAGAAAGGGCTTTGACTTCACCAAAATTCAACTAAAGTTGGCCTTCCCTCTAGATTTAGTGTTGATTCTGGCAAACTGAAATTCGGAATTCATAGTAGAAAGATTCTTGAAACTTGATCAGAAATATCATAAGAACAGAAGCTATTTGTAACCAATACATATAAAACTTCAAACATTTAACAAAAGTGTTCATGTAGCTCAAAGTTAGGGGAATAAAATGCCATGTTGACCAACCAGTATTACGTTATTCAAGAACCTCGCCTTGAAACCCAGGAAAAAGAAAGCTACATTGATTCATCAACATAAACTTAAAGCTTACATGATTTTCTTGTATAGGTATATTTGTATAGATCATTATTTGGCCCCAATAAAAAATGACTTCAGAAGTACAAGTACTATAAGCTCCTATACGCCAACGAGCAGCAGTAAGTCACTAACTCCACAAGGATTACAATTCCCTATGCATTTTGCAAGCTAACTTACAGAATGGCATTGAATTCTCCCAAAGCTATTCTTCAGGTTTTTTAGCTTTGTTCTTATTACCGTATATCAATCCAGTTTCCTGCCAAATTTCATGAAACGGATAAGACTAATATTCAATACAACACAGACACCAGTTGATGGAAATCAAAAAGGGCACAGTACCTGTGGATCAGGAATTGGTTTTCGCTTCTCAACATAACGATAAATATCTGAAGCAGCAGCTAAAGCCGCCTTTTCCTGTCAACCCAAAATTTTAACAAAATACTTGTAAATACTAAAACTTGCTAGTTGATTAGAATTGAGGGTTAGTTGATTGATTGACGAGTAAGTAATAGTACAAAAAAGATAAAAATGGATTTTTTTGTGGGGAATTGAGAAAAAAAAATACCTCTTGTTGTCTCTTGAGTTCCTGAGAGGGCTTGACCCAAAGAAAGTAAGCTAAGGTACCGGCAACAACCCAAGAAGCTAAATTGCTTCCACCCCTTAAACCTCCGGTTAAGTTTCCGAAAAAGGATCTAACATTACCCACCGATTTCCTCCAACCAGTTGCCATTTGATTTCCTTTCTCCTTGCAAAATTCAGTTTTTTGCCTGATTTCTTGCTCTCTAATTCACAAAATTGATGTTAACTGGCCTGGTGTAGCTCATGCAGAAATCTATGGACAGCTAAAGGATTTAACTTTTTCCTTTTATTTTGTACAGTTGAAGGATTTAATTGCCAAAAAAAAGAGGGGAACCGATACTGTCACTGGGAATTTTTCCCTGGGCCTCCGATGAATGGGTTTAGCTAGCTACTTATGGACCCAGCATCTTACGTGTCTGTTAGCCCATAAAGTAACGGGCTGACTCCTATCAATGTGGTTGGACTTTTATTTATCAGGCTGATCCATTTCCTTAAAGAGACTACCTCTGCAGGGCATTTGCATCTGTACCCGCTTTTTGGGTCACGTTTTAATTTGTGCCCGTTTTGCAAAAACAATTATGAGGGTACCCATTTTTTCGCGTAACTTCAGCATACGGGGCTAAATTAGCAAAGGCAATCACGCCAAACTTCAGCATTCTAGTAGACAGGACTGAAGTGTGCTGAAGTTTTTGTTTTGTAACTGGCGAACTTCAGCTCTAGAGCTGAAGTTTTTGTTTTGTAACTAGGTTCGAGAGCTAAAGTTTTTATTTTGTAACTGTCGAACTGAAATTTTGTTTGTAACTGAGGAACTTCAGCTCTAGAGCTGAATTTTTGTTTTTGTAACTGGGGAACAGAGCTGAAGTTTTTATTTTGTAATTGTCGAACTTCAGCTTTAGAGCTAAATTTTTTATTTTTGTAACTGGTGAACTTCAGCTCTAGAGCTGAAGTTTTTGTTTGTAACTGGCGAACTTCAACTCTAGATCAATCAATCAATGCAAACATCACCATAAAACTTGTTGATGGATTCCCTCCCAAATCTGTTACATAATTCACATTGAACAGACACAAAATTAAACAAACTATACTATCAAACAGAGCTCAACACAAACATTATTTTATGAAGAAGTAACTAACATACGAGGGTGATTTTGTTCGCCATTGATGTATTTATCAAGTGACCAGCCAGCAAGTCCTAGTACTATTAAATAAACTACCAAGTTTATGACTAAGAATGGTCCAATTAGGCTTCTGCCACCCCTTTTGTTCGCCATTATTTGATTAACTTAATTAAGCTTAGCTGAGAGTAATTAGAGTTCCACTGCTTTTGCTTGTAGTATTGATGGTTGCATGTCTGGTTTTTCCCTGAAAATAGGAGTTGAGTTTTTTGGTTGTTAGGATACGTGGTCGCTTCAAGAGGACTCCATTGCTGCACTTTACAGGTGTTACAACTTGAGGAGGAGAAGGAGAAGGAGAAAGAGGGCGGAAGTTATTTAAAAAGTGGGTACAAGTGAAAACTTTTTAAAAAAATGGGTGTAGGTTAAATGAGGGCGACCAAATAGGGCGCCCCGTGCAATTTTTATCCTCTGTAGCCCCTCAAAATTTTAATAGCCCATATTTTTCTCCACTTACATGAAATGGCCCTTCAGCCCAAACATATTATATTTAATAGCCTGAAATATCTATTTTATATTTTTTTTATAGTGACAGTCTTTTTTGTATATTTTTTGTATAGTGGCAGTCTATTTAGTATATTTTTGTATAGTGACAATCTATTTTGTATATTTTTTGTATAGTGACAGCCTATTTTGTATAATGACAGTCTATTTAGTATATATTTTGTATAGTGACAGTCTATTTTGTATAATGATAGTCTATTTAGTATATATTTTGTATAGTGACAGTCTATTTTGTATATATTTTATATAGTGACAGTCTATTTTGCATATATTTTGTTTAGGGACAATCTATTGTATATAAATTGTATAGTAGCAGTCTATTTTGTATATATTTTGTAATATACATTTTATAGCCCAAAAGTAAAAACGTTGTAACAATCCTCGTTCTTACACATCAAAATCAACTCACTATCCTTCAAAGGCCTCTCTACAGCTCTAATCAGCTCAATCGGGTTACGATTTTCCAAAACCCTAACGTCCGTTAAGAATATCCCATCGTTACTAACACCAGCAGCGGAAGTAGAAATAGGAATCATAGTTTTATTGGGCTGAGGGAATTTGAGGAATTCAATGGAGTCGGACGGGGTAGTTTTCCCGGTGAGATAATCGAGGAGCGGTTTACGATCAGGGAGAGTGAAGCCGGGGATATGAAAGGAGCGTGATTACTGGATATAATCGGTGTGTTTGAGGTGGTGATTGGTGATGAAGTTGATTAGGGTTTCAAGAGTGTAGCGATTGTCTTGCACGTGCTTAGAGCCGTAAGCAGTTTTAATGGTACAGGGGAAAGAGTAGTCGTTGTCGAAATGGTAATCATCGTCGATGCGCACGATTTTGTGGAGCTCGTTTCGGACGGTGTACTCCCGGGGGAGGGCTAGCCACTAGAATTAATTTTGGGCTATAAAATGTATATTGCAATTTTTGGGCTATCGGGTGATATATGTTTGGGCCGATGAGCTATAAATGAAGTTTGCGCTTTCCTTAACTTGTTTGCGCCCAAGTTAAAGTTCAGCCCAAATAAAATCAATGTGAAAGTTTTCCATGTGTTCCGACCAGTTTTGGTCAAAATAGCAAGGCTAGCCGGTTTTCGGATTGGTCATTCAAAAATAGCCAGCATTTGCCAAATCATTAAAAAATAGCCACTATTTTGCTGCAACAGACACCGGTCTAGTATAATATATTGGAGTTCCAGCAAAGTATACTGGAACTCCAAACTCTAGTATAATATACTAGAATTCCAGAAAAGTATATTGGAACTCTAGTATATTATACTAGAGTTCCAGTATATTATACTGAGAATCCAGTATATTATGCTGGAGTATTTTTCGGATTTTGAATAGTATTTTCATTCAGATTTATCTTTACATAAAAATTGCCTAAATTTCGATGACTTTTGAAACTGTCGCTATTTTTGAATGACTACTTCTAAATCTGGCTATTTTTTAATTTCTCCCCAATCACTGATTGAATTTTGAAAAAAAAATATTAACTGATACCCAATTTTTTGGTAACTTCAGACATATACTTTCCTCTTCTTCGTCAATGTTGCTTTCTTCTTCTTTGTACTTACGGCTTCTTCTTCTTCTTCTTCTTCTTCTTCTTCTTAGTTGCAAATGAATTTGTTAAATTGTTGTTGTTTTGATAATTGGAGATTATTCTTTATGATATTTGAAAGTGATATTTCAAATTTGAGCTCATTTAGAGTAGATTTAGGTGTTGAATCGTATAGTAGATTGTTGAAATTCGAAGAACAAGATTATGTTTCAGAATTTCATATTAATCTGAAGTTGTTGAACTACTTGAGATTCGAAATTTTGAAGTTGCATTTGAAAGATAGAAGCACTTCATATTCAAAATCTGAAGTTGCATTGAAGAGATTGAACTACTTAACACTTGAATTTCTAAGTTGCATGTGAAATTAAGCAGTGTCACACAACACAACTTCGCTGAAATTTTTTATGAAATATTGCTTAACATATATTGTCGCTTGGCATGCTTAAGTTCTTGATTTTTTTTTCTAAAAGGTCAGAGGTTCAAACCACAACTAGATCATACTTTTTTCAGATAATTTAATTTAGAGAGCTTCTATGGTTAAAAATTAGTGTATTTGTCCGCGCGTCGCGTGGTCATTAAAAATATATCTTCAACATATATATATATATATATATATATACACGTAATTTATTTGTAAAAAATGAATAAAATCATAAATATTAAGTATTTTTAATAACACTGTGGTTTCAATTTTCATAACTTCAACACTATATAGGTTACAAGTTTGTCATGGAAGAACCACATCTATAAAGGGATTAATCTATATATGTATAGTTGATATGTATTTATTAAATAATTATCTCTCTGATTTTCTAAAAAGTTGAAAAAGTTTAAGAAATATGTGTTCTTTTTAATAGAATAATAAACGTCTTTATTTAATATATGCATATCTAAGTTTGTTTGTTTTTTTTAAAAAAATGTACAGATATTTCTCCTTACATAACAAAGAATGTAAATTATAATACAGATAAAAAAATTAAAATACAAACAAAGAGATTGCAACGTGATGAAACAATAAATAAATAAAAAGTTACACCCACTTGGACCGTTGGCCGTTTCTATGTTGAAAAACACAATGATTTCATAGAGAAAAAGATGATTTTTTAGATGTGATCATCTCTTTTAAGAGACTTGTAAACTCAATTATTGTCCTTCATGGTCGCTTGAAGATGGTTTTGTTTAATAATTTTACAAAGAAAATAGAAAAACAAAAGATCCGATCTTACGTATTGCCATGAATTCCTGCATGATTTTTTTATGGTTCTTGCTTTGATCACTTTCCTTAGTGGAAATCAACTACCAATTTTATTTTTAGCAATGTTATTTGTTGAGTGTTCCAAGTTGGCATATTCCTTTAAACTGATTTAGAACTATGCAACGATATATGTATTTATATGTGTTTTGACCTTTAGTATACATTCAAAATACATTAACATAAAAAAGAACATGCTATTCATTCATGAATCTTACACCGATCTTAAAGCAAAGTACATAAATACGGTATTTCTCAAAATCAGAGAGAAAGTAGAAGAAAAACAAGAAATAAAACGCACATCATGTTTGGGACCTTAATCATAAGAAAATAAAAGGAAAAAGAAATATAGAATCAATGCATAGTTCCCCGAGTTGTTGTTGATATCCTCTCTCGCAAACCAATAATTATTCTAGAGCTTTCTTCCTCCAGCAAAACTAAAACATGAATCTAATAATGCGATAAATATGGCATCATTACTATTTCAGATATGGAATGGAAAGGGTTAACCTTCGGTAGGGGTCTCATGAAATAAATTTATGAATTTATATAAGCAAAAGTAGAAGAATACATAAGGTATCTTAAAATTTTAAATTAAATATTTGGGAGTTATGAAAAGCATAAGAATTATGGATATTATTAAGAGTAGAAGTTAAAGAGGTGTGAGTTACGAAAATAAAAATTTTAAAATAAATAAAAGATAAAAGATAAATACAAATTGTTATAAATTTACATATTAAATATTTGGGAGGTTATGTATATAAAAGGAAAGAGAGTTATTTAGATTAATAAAAATATAGGTTATGAAGATAATGAGGTAAGAGTTATGAAGATAGAATAATGATAA